CCGCAGAGCCCCCGGCCAGCTCCGGGCAGGACGCGGCGCTGCCGGAGCTGCTGAAGGGCGTCGTGAGGGACATCCACAACGCCATGGGTGAGGGACGGCTGAGGGAGTGGGGGCGGACGGCGGGCTCTCCTGCACCCCGTTTGGACTCGGGGCGCAGGGTGGGCAGGATGGGGGGTCCCAGTGTGGGTAGGACGGGGGTGTCAGCGTGCTGTGTGACTCGCCTTTCCCAGACAGGCTGCTGGCTCTGACTCTGCTGGCCTTCGAGGGGCTCGGCACCGCTGCCGGCAAGGACCAGTGCCTGGCCTGCCTGGAGGAGGCTTTCTTCCCCCCACTCTGGGCCCCGCTCCTGGCCCTCTACAGGTACCGTGACCCGCTTTGAAGGGTCCGAGACCCACTGCCCCCCTCCTGGCACCCCCCCGTCACCTCTGTGCCCGCAGGACGGTGCAGCAGCCCCGCGAGGCGGCCCTGGCACGCAGCATGGAGCGGCACCGGCACGCCAGCCCCGCCGACATGGGGCTGGCCTCACGCCTCTTCCCACCCGCCCCCGGCCGCCCCGCCTACGCCTCGGCCGTGCAGGACCTGCGCCTCATCCCGCTGGAGACCTGTCCCCGCAGGAAGCTGGAGTGCATCGGTGAGCGGAGATGGGGCTGTGGGGAGGGCACTCAGGGCTGGCGGTGACCCTGACAGCCGCCCTGTGCCGCAGTGCGAGCCCTGCGGGGCATCTGCGAGTGTGCCGAGGAGTACTGCGGCAGCCGGGACAGCCGGAGCCTCGCCACGGCCGCCATGTGAGTACAGGAACCGCGTCTCTCGGCCGCACACAGCAGGACGGGCAGCGAGGGGAGCTCCAGCGGCTCCTGTGGCCGGCTCGGTGATGGGGCAGCAGTCCCTGTGGCCACCGTGGGTGACGACCCTGTTGTCACAGCGGGGCAGATGACCTGCTGCCCATCCTGTCCTACGTGGTGCTGCAGACGGGGCTGCCCCAGCTGCTCTCCGAGTGTGCTGCCCTGGAGGAGTTCATCCATGAGGGGTACGTGCCAGGGTGCTGGGCCATGCAGCCACTGGGCTCAGGACACCGTCACCCTCCCGGGACAGGGCTGTCAGGGCGGGAGGTGGGTCGGAACAGCAGCAGGGCCGAGGGACGGCGGATGCCACGGTGTGCTGGTCATGGCAGCGTCCCAGCCGTGTGATGGGTGTGCGCACAGGTACCTGATCGGGGAGGAGGGGTACTGCCTGACGTCCCTGCAGAGCGCCCTGTCCTACGTGGAGTCCCTGCAGTGAGGAGGGGGCGGCGCGGGACCCCCACACCCCCGGCCAGGTGCTGCCGCCGCCCCCCCGGGTCCTCCCGCCCGGCAGGGGGCGCTGTGGCGCGGGGAGAAGCCCCGCCCCGTGGGCGGAGCTACGGGCGGCACGCGCGTCCCGGCCCGGTGGGGGCGCGAAGGGAGCGCGAGCGGCCGGGAGCGGCAGGTGGGGCGGCGGGGAACCGGGACCGGGGCGGAACCGGGGTCGGGTGGGAACACCGGGAGGCCTCGGGGGTGGAAAGGGGGTGAATCAGGGCCGGGAAGTGACACCGGCGGGACTGGGAGCAGGGAGGTGCCGGGGAGGCCTCGGAGGAGCGGAGTTCCGGAGCTCGGGCTTTGGCCGGGGGATCGTCACCGGTTTGGGAGGGGGTGCCAGGGTCTCACCTCGGGTGCCGGGGTACCAGGGCGGGGTCTCACGCTGCTGTACCCGCAGGATGTGTGCAGGCTCGGCGCTGCGGCAGGAGCACCGGCAGGACTACGCGCAGCAATGCCGGCAGGAATTCCACCGGGAGTACCGCCGCTCACTGGAGCGGGAGTTCGGCCCCGCCGGGACCTGCCCCGGCCCCGCCGTGGCGGAGCGGCTGCGGCAGCGGCTGCAGCGGGAGCCGGCGCTGCTGGGGGCCCTGCAGGAGGATGCCCTGGCACTACTGGCCCGGGGGCTGCGGGACCACCGCGACCCCGGGCTGGCGCTGCGGGGCCTGGCCGGCGCCTTCTGGCTGCTGGAGCTGGCGGCCGTCAACCTCTACCTCTTCCCTTGGCGCCGGGAGTTCGGCACCATCCAGGTGAGGCCCTGAGGGGATAAGGGGATGGCGTGGGGATACCCAGACACCTCCAGCCACGCTCCCCGCTCTCCTTGCAGACCTTCTCCGGCGCCTACGTGCACCTGCTGCGCCCAGCGCTCCCCGAAGCCGACCTGGTGCGGAGTTTGGGCCGACTGGGCTACGAGCGGCAGGACCGGCACCGCCTGGCTGTGGCCCGGCTGCCCCCGGGGCCCGTGCTGATCGCTGCTGCTGTCGGCTTCCTCGCCTGCCGCCTGGAGTGTGAGATCCTGGCAGAGCTGGCACCGCAGCTGCGGTGGTCCCGCGCCGAGGAGCTGCTGGAGGCACGGCATGGAGCCACGGGTGCCAGGGGGTGCCTGGAGACTCTGCAGGACCTGGGGAAGCAGCAGAGGGCGGCCGCCGACTGCAACGACAGTGTGGATCTCTACCGGGAGATGCCAGACAGCCCTGAGGACGTGGGGGGCAAGGACACAGCTCCCCCAGCGCTGTGGAGGGACCCTCAGGATGTGCCCACGAGGGGCTGGGGACGCTGCGATGGCACACTTGGGCCAGAGCCTGTGGGCAGCGCCGATCCGGACACCTCCTCTCACCTCTTCCCAGAGCAAGAGCTGGTGGTGACCAGCAGAAGCCCCCAGGATTCCTGCCAGGACACACCAGAGCTGCCCTGCTACCAGCTACACTCGTGCCTGCGCCGGGGCATGCTGCCCTCGTACTGCTGCAGCACCTGCCGGCAGCTGCACGGCGGTGGCTGCGCCGCGGGACACGCCTGCCGCAGCCGGCACCGCGGCCAGGAGCTGCGCGGGGAGCGGCAGCAGCGGCTCTGGCTGCAGCGCACAGAGCTGGACATGCTGCTGGCCGAGGGCTCTGCACCCCGCTCCTGACACGGCTGCTGCTGCTGCCTGCGGGAAGGGATGGGCACGGCCACGGCTCCGCACAGGGACCCGGACTCGGCAGCCCACGGTGCCCGGGCCCTGCTCCTGTAAATTATTCAGTGCATCAGTATAAAGTGGCTGCCTCGGCACGGGGTGTTGTGTTCTGGGGAGGGGGACGAAGATGCCTGATCCAAGGGCAGGGGCTGCAGAGATACCTGACAGCACAGCACCCTGCAGGAGCAGCTCCTGCCTGCCTGGGAGTGGGACCTGGGATCTACATAAAAGCGGGGAGAACCTGGGGTGTCATGGAGGTCTCCTTGTCCCCAGAGGAAGGAGAACATAGGCACAGCTGCTTCCAGTCTTGTTGGCAGCAAAGAATGAGGTCACTCTCTCCCAAAGTTGCCACTGCCAGATGCTTTTATTGATGGCAGAGTTGGGGTTCCCCCCACAGACAGCACAAGCCAGGACCCCATGGGATAGGACTGACCCTGCCAGACCTGGGTATCCCCAGGCCCCATCTCTCCTCTCTCCGGGGCCCAGGGCCACGCTCACCCAGCCCCAGACTAGAGCCTGCCCCATCCTTAACGTGGAGACGGAGCTGGGAGCTGTCCTGGGAACAGATGGAGCCCCGTGGGGCACTGGGACTGTTGGGCTGAGGGAATCCTCAGCCAGGACACATCACGCCTGTTCCCATGGGACAGCTCAGGGCTTGCTGCGCTTGGCCTGGCTCTCCACTGCCGTGCCTGCCGCCCGCTTGTTCCGGTGGTGTGGGAAGGTGGGCATCAGCTCCGGCTCACAGGCTGTGGGGCACAGAAGAGGGGTCAGCAGGGCCCAAAGCCTCCCCAAGTCCTGCCCTGCTCCAGGAAGGGGAGTACTTACGCAAAGGCTTCTCTTTGAAGTAGGAACTCTCCAGGCAGTCCTTGGCTGTGGCCCTGAAGGGACAAGGGCAAGTGGCAGGGACTACCCCAGCCTGGGGAACAGCGTGGGGCTGGTTCCCTGCCCTACCCACCCCACATCCTGCCTGCTCTTACCTCTTCTTGGGGTCGTACATGAAGAGGAAGTTGAGCAGTCGCAGCCCAGCCTCCGAGAGCCAGGGAAACCTGTGCTTCAGGTTGTTGTAGGGCTGTTTGCGCAGGGTGTACTGGGTGGCCAGCGGCAGTTTGGAGAACCCCTGGGGGAAACACGGAGTGAGGAGGGGCCAGGGGAACAGCCAGGGAGAAAGGACAGGGAGAATGGGCAGGGAGCTCTCACTGGCCAGATGTTCTCGTTGGGTGTTCCCAAGAGCTGCACGATGAGGTCGATCTGGTGGATCTCAGAGGTGCCTGGCAGCAGCGGTTTGTGTGCCAGCAGCTCGGCCAGGATGCAGCCAGCGGCCCTGCGGAGCACAGGAGCCTCTCCAGTGATCCCCCTGCAGTTTGCAGCCCCCCAGTCCCATCCAGGCAGCCTCAGCATCCCCCCCTTACCACATATCGATGCTGGTGGTCTGGGTTGTCATCCCCAGCAGCAGCTCTGGTGCGCGGTACCTGCACAGGGGACACTCGGTGGCAGAGCTGGCATGAGCCTGTTCTGCTGGGAGGACCCACCCCAGCACCAGCCACTCACCACAGAGTCACCACTTTGGGGGTCATGGGCTTGGGGGGCATCCCATAGGTGCGTGCCAGGCCAAAATCAGCTGCAACAGAGTCAGGGTCAGGAGGGAGCCAGCTCTGAGCTCTGCTCATGGCACAGCCATGCAGGTGCTGGGACTCACCTATCTTCACACAGCCTTTGTCGGTCATCAGCAGGTTGGAGACCTTCAGGTCCCTGTGGGAAACAGAGCAGCTGGAGGTGAGAGACCACAAGCAAAATCCACTCCCATCATTCCATGGCCTCCCTGCCCTGCTGGTGCTCCCACACTGATGGGCACCAAAGCTGCACCCGGAGCCGCTCCTGATGGTGCTGCCTGCTCTCATGATGTGCAAGGTGTCCCCTTTATCCCCCAGCTCCATCCTGCCACTCCCACCTGTGGATGATGTAGTTCTCATGGAGGTACTGAAGGCCTTTGAGCACCTGCAGGATGATGCACTTCACCTGGGGACAGAGGACAGGAGCTGTGACCTCTGTGGGAGCAGCACCGACTGCACAAACCCCTGCAGGCCAAACCCACCGGGGTGTCCTGCAGTCCCTCCAACCCTGTGTCCTCCCAGGGGGTTCTGGGTGGGCATTTTCTCCCAGTTCTGTTTCCCTGACAGTTTGCTCCAGCCCCAAACCCAGCCTGGGAAGTCCCTGAAGGGTTTACTGAGAGTCAGCAAAGCCCAGGCTCCATCAGAATCCCTGGAATCCCCCAGCTCAAGGCCTAGGGAGCCCTTCAAGGTGCCCACATGTTATGGCAGGAATGGCAGCACCCTGTCAGGACACAAATCCTGCCCCACCCTGTACCTGAGCTTCTGAGAAGGGTGTTTGCATGTTCTCCAAGAGACTGGCCAGGTCCTGCTCGCAGTATCCCATCACCAGGAAAATGCTGTTGGAGAGAAGGTAAGGTCAGAGCCTCCCCCAGGACAGGTTTGTGTGCTGAGGTGGCTGAGCTCCCAGGAAGATTTGAAAGGCAGAGGGAGGACAGACAGGGGACTCTTACCTCTCCAGGTGGTTTCCCACAACCACCTCCTTCAGTTCCACAATGTTGGGGTGCTGGAGCTGCAGGAGCAGGGTGATCTCCCGCAGGCTGCTGATGGGCATTCCTGGAGGAAGGAGGGAGGAACAGCAGAGCTGCAGGAATGGCCTGGAGCCAGAGCCAGGACCGAGCAGCCCCTGTTCCCCCCACTCCTCCATTACCATCTTTCTCGTTGTCCATCCGCACTTTCTTCAGTGCCACCGTCTCGTCGGTCAGCGTGTCCCGGGCACGGTCTGGGGGCAGCACAGGCCACCTTGGCACCAGGACACACACCTGGGTTTGTCCCGACCTCCTCTCAGCTCCCCAGCTCAGCTACAGGAGGGAATCTGGCCCCTCCCGAGCCGGGGAGCTGGGATTCTACACGGGGGAATGGCTTTCCACTGGGAGAGGGCAAGCTTAGATGGGATATCCGTAAGGAATTCCTCCCTGCGAGGGTGGTGAGCCCCTGGCACAGGTTGCCCGAAAAAGCTGTGGCAGCCCCATGCCTGGAAGTGTCCAAGGCCAGGCTGGACACAGCAACGTGATCTAGTGGAAGGCGTCCCTAGCCACGGCAGGGAGTGGAACGGAATGAACTCGGAGATCTCCTCCCGGTCCCGCATGGCCCCAGCGCACCGGGAGCCGCCCCCGCCCGGGAGGCACTGCCCGTACTCACACACGATGCCGTACGTGCCCTCTCCGATCCGATTCAGCTTCTCAAACTCCTTCACGCTGCGGCATCGTCCCAGCTGAAACCAAAGAGCAGCGTCCGGGAGGTGCCGCCTCGAGGGATCCCCACCGGGACCGCCGCCGGCACCGAGCCCTCTCACACCCCCGGGGACCCGCTGCACTTACCCGATCGCCTGCCGGAATCTCGAAGAAGCCGTCGCCCCGCAGTCGCCGCAGCCGCAGGGGTTCCAGCTCTGGCTCGGCCGGTCCCGACCCGGGTCCCGATTCCGGTGCCGGTCCCGATTCCGGTGCCGGTCCCGCCTCAGCCGCCGCCATGTCGGCGATGGCGAATCCCGCCCACGCCGGGTATTATCCACCGCAGGCTCCGCCCACCCATAGGTTCCGCCCACTCGCGTTAAGCCTCTGGCAACCGTTGCTAGAGAGGAACCAATAGCGACCCTGTCCCGGCATAGCCCCGCCCCCATTGGTTCCGCCTCCTCTCGGCCCCGCCCCCATTGGTTCCGCCTCCCCTCGGCCCCGCCCCCATTGGTTCCGCC